GCCTGTCTTTTCCACCCTTTGCTTTCATGCCTGCCAGACAGAGGTTGGCTCTGCTCCCTCCATAGCCTACTTCTGACTCCTCCCTTAGCTGGCCTAGACAAACCACCTCCTAGTCGGGTGCCTAAGCTGCAGTTAAGGGCTGAGGGGTTGCACCTTCACCTGATGTGGCCCATGACCAAGGTAAGTGTCACTTGTCCCCACTTTCTCCCCATCAGCCATTCTTTCTTGCCATCCTAGGTCCTGAAACCCTTTCTGGAAGATTCCAAGTACCAAAATCTGTTGCCCCTTTTTGTGGGACACAACATGTTGCTGGTCAGCGAAGAGCCCAAGGTCAAGGAGATGGTGCGCATCTTAAAGGGTGTGCCTTTCCTACCACTGCTAGGTGAGCAAACATTCCTGCCAGTTAGATCTGGGAGTGAGGTGGGGCAGGTGCCACTAGCCTGGTGCGGTCTACAGGGAACATGCTGTCATGGATGGGACCAGAATCAACGGCAGGTTTATTGAGGGCTGACTGTCATTTGACACCTCTGTTGTCTCACAGCCCCACTTCTGTGCTAGAGGAAAGACTAAGGAAGACCGAAAGGGGGCTCTGGGGTGGGAGACGGCAAATTCAGACACCTTGAGTCTGCGATGTAGTGGGTGCTGAAACCCACACAAATAAAAGGTATTTAAAATAAATATCTGAAGTAAAGGGTGCTGGACCAATGACCAGTTTTTCCAGATTCTTCTAAGACTCACTAGGGTGCTTATCTGTAAAGAATATTGCCCATGTCCCTAGGAAATTTGAATTTTATAGGAAAACCATTTTTATAGTACCACCCGTGATTCTTTTTTTTCCTTAAATTTTTCTGTTGTAAAATACATATAATATAAAATTTACCGTTTTAGGAGCCAGAATTTGTGGCACACACTTGTAATCTCAGCAACTGGGGAAGCCAAGGCAGGAGGTTTGCAAGTTCAAGGGCAGCCTCAGCAATTTAGTGAGACTCTCAGCAACTTAGTGAGACCCTATCTCAAAATAAAAAATGAAAAGGACTGGGGATATAGCTCAGTGGTAACACACCCCTGGGTTTAATCCCCAGTATGAAAAAATAAAATAAATTTTACCCTGTTAACTATTTTAATTAATTTTAGTATTTTTTTTTTAGTTATACATGGACAGTTATACCTTTATCTTATTTATGTGGTGCTGAGGATCAAACCCAGGGCCTTACACATGCGAGATGAGCACTCTACTGCTCAGCCTCAGCCCCCCTGCTAAATATTTTTTTTTCCTCTCTCTCTCTTTTTTTTATTTGTTTTAATTAGTTACACATGACTGTACAATGATCTTGACATATCATACATTTGAATCAGATGGGATATAATATCTCATTTTTCTGAGTGTACAGGTTGCAGAATTACATTGGTCATGCAGTCACATATATATCCACAGCAGTAATAATGTCTATTTTATTCTGCTGTCCTTCCATTCCCCCCTTCCCCTTCCCTCCCATCACTTCTCTCTACCCAATCTAATGTGACCCACTTCTTTTTTTTCCCSCTCACATCTTCACCTGCTATTTTTAAAAGTATAGTGATGTTAAATACATTTATAATATTGTGTAATCACCATCTCCATAACTTTTTTTTTTTTTTGAGAGGGGCCTAATTAAGTTGTATAGGGCCAAGGCTGGGTTTGAACTTGTAATCCTCTTGCTTCAGCCTTCTCAGTCACTGGGATTACAGGTGTGTACCACCAGTCCTGGCTTCCATAACTTTTCATCATATATTTGTATATGTCATAGATGGACCCAATACCTTTATTTTATTTATTTATTTTTATGTGGTGATGAGGATTGAGCCCATTGCCTTACACATGCTAGACTAGACCTTTACCCCATTGAGCCCCAGCCCCAGCCAGCCCCTAATTTTCATTTTGTAAAATTRAAACTCTATCAAATAACTCCCTGTTTTTTCCCTCCACTCCATGATTCTGTTTTTAAGAAAGTTTAGGAAATGCTGACTTCAGGGGGTTGGGGCCATTGGATGCATGATGCAAGTTTTCAGAAGGAAGGAAGGGAGGGTAAAGATCTCTACTGATGGGAGTGGGTGTGGCAATGGAACCCAGACTTGGGCAGGCTGGGAGGGGAGAGAGGGGCAATGGAGAGCAGATTCCTAGGGTTGGGACATTATTTCTAGAGAAGACAGGCATTTGTGGGGAGCCCAGCTGACTCTCTGTTCTTCCAGGTGGCTGCATCGATGATACCATTCTCAGCAGACAGGGCTTCATCAACTACACCAAGCTACCCAGTCTGTCCCTGCTGCAAGGGGAGCTGGTAGGAGGGCTCRCCTTCCTCATGGCCCAGACTCACTTCTTGCTTCAGCACCAGCCCATCCAGCTGACGGCCCTGTTGGGTCAGCATGTCAGACAGCAKCGAGAGGGGGACTCTGCCACTTTGGCCACTGGGAAGCCTGATCCTCCTGACCCTGTTCTGGACTCCTAGCCAKCCTGTTTTGCCAAGCCATGCCCATAAATATACTCTGCTCCTGTTGACTGTGCTGTCTTCTGTCAGAGTTGTGGAAGAATTTGGGGTGGGAGAGTGTCATGTGACTTGACTTCTATTAACAAAGACCTCCTTGGGGGCAGGGCCACTTGGAGATACACAAGAATTCCATATCAGAATGGAGGCTGCTAATTACTGTCTTTTTTTTTTTTTCCAGTTGTAGATAGACACAATATCTTTATTTATTTTTAAGTGGTGCTGAGTATTGAGCCAGTGCACTCTACCACTGAGCTACAGCCCCAGCCCCTAATCACTCTTTGTCCTTAGTTTTCCCAAATTGGTACCTGATAGTGCAAAGCCTGTCAGTTCTCCAGGTACAAGGCAAAGAGCCAGGAAAGATGAGGATCTTGCCTCTGCCTCCTTACCACAGTTCTTTACTGCATATATCTCCACAGCCCACCCTCTTGGGGCTACAACCTGTCACAGTAGCTCAGCTAAGTAAAGACTGTATACATATCAGTTTATTCCTCACCATGTTGTCCCCATTTCACAGAAGATGAAGAGTCAGAGAAGTTAAATAGTCTGCACAAGGTCATGTAGCTAGTAAATGGCAGACAGGGACTCAAATCAGACTTTCTGTTCTGATGACCTCACCCAGAATTTTGACACCAAGTAGGTTTGGGGTGAGCTCTGATGTTAATGCTCCACCCTTGGGGGTGTGTGCCATGTTGTAGAGGTTGGAGCACTGCTTGTGATAAAATGAAGTATATTTTACAGACTCTGTTTCGCTGTTTACAAGGTTATTTTCAGGGTCGTCTCTGACTCTCCTCACTTCCCTTCCTAGAAGATTTTTCCTCTTCCCTCACCATAAATGGCATCTCTTCCATGCTTGTCCTTTTTTTCTTTAAAATGTTTTTTTAGTTATAGATGGACACAATACCTTTATTTATTTTTATGTGGTGCTGAGGATCGAACCCAGTGCCTCACACGTGCAAGGCATGCACTCTACCACTGAGCTACAACCCCAGCCCCTCCATGCTTGTCCTTTTGAAGGCAGCTGACAGCTGTGTCCAGTAGCAAAMATTCTCAAGTGGTTCTGCACAAAAGGACTAGGGTAGCTGGGTTCTCTGTTGACCCAAGGGTTCTGGGGACTCTAGCAGGACTCCCCCAGTCTTGAGGAACCCAAAATTCCTAATAAAAAAGCTGAATTAGTGGCCTGTCATTGTCTTTATAGGAGCACATCCTGGGTGAACCCAAGGATGTATCAGGAGGGCGGCTCTTTGGCATTCCTTCCCAGACGAGCAATGCCACAATGTCCTTGGTCTTGGATAGGTATATCTGGCAGTGATAATCTGCAGCAGTGTTTCCATGGCCTGGGCCACTCACAGTGCCCAATTTTGTCCTGGGTGCCCAGGGATGTCCAATTACTGTGAAGTGAATTAAAAGACCCCTGAGGCTCCTAGATGTGAGAGCTGGTCTGGCTAGTGCTGCCCAGGGCTGCATAGTGGCTCTCCCAGCCTCCAGAACCCTGCCAACTATTAACAACACTCCTTGTCCTGGGGAGGCTAGAGTAGTGCTGAGATTCTTTGCGGAGCTAGGATAGCAGGTACCTAAGAGATGCATGACTCTGAAGTGTGACCAAGCCCACAGGGGGACAAGGTGAGGTAGATAAGTAACCCACATGATTTCTGGGGCTGTAAAAGAACTTCACATTCTATCTTCACCTGCCTGAGTCGCCATAGTTAAAAACCCACTTCTTTCCAAAAAGCTGCTTCATTGCACTTAAAGTTGTCAATCTGTCAATCCTTTTGAATGAATTTTAGATCTTTCTCAAGAGCCAATTTTTAATTAGATTTGAGCAATTGGACTTATTCCTCTAGCAGAAGGGTAGAGGTGCTCAGAAAGGCAGGTGAGGGTGTCTAAATTGCCTTCCCTTTTTAGTATTTGGTGGGTTATTGCCCCAGACCTGAGCTCCTGGCTCAGAGACACTGTGTTCTGGGATTTGTCTCACTTCAGGGACACTTCTGAACCCTCTTGAAGAGGCATGGTGGGGCTTTACTCCCTGAGAGCAGCTTCAGTGTGGGGTCATGGACTGTCCCCTCTCCCCCTGACTGCACTGCTGACTATGCTCCTGGCACTATCTATTGTGTCAGGGGAGGGAGGGGGGCATCTGTCCCTTCCCTGTCAACCTGATACCTTACCTAGCTCCAAATTTTGCAATCTATTTTCAGATGTAAAATGAGAGGCCAGGGTTAATAAGGAAATGGCCTTGGGCGCTCCCTTGGGTCAAGGCCACACTAGTCTGAACAAATCCTTTACCACTCTGGCTTGAGGCCAGCAGTTCCCCAGTCCTCTAATCTGTCTGGAACCGTGCCTAGTGGAGACTATGCCCCCATTCCCATACCACATTGGTCCACTCAGTCCTGAGTCCTCCGGGGAGCAGGGGGGCAGAGCTGAGCGGCCGCCCGGAGCTTGGCGGGAGGAGGCGACAGGGGGGAGGGGAAGGTGGGGAGATCCGGCTAGAGGGGAGGCTCCGACGTCTCCTTCCTTCCTGGTTCCTGCAGCAGCTGCTGCCACTGCTCAGCTCTGTGAGGAGGGAGCCGGTGACTCGGAGACAGTGACTCAGAGGCAGAGCGGTGCGCGGGCCAAGGAGCACTGGCGTCCATGGACCCTGGGGTAAGGGGGCTGCGCGACATAAGCTGACACTCCCAAGGAGGGCTTCCTCCCACCTGGAGCTGGTGGGTCTGCTTCTCTGGATCCAGGGCTGGGAATGGAGGTGGCAAAGGGGTACCTGCCTGCCTCCTCTGGACCCCCTCCTTCCTAATGGTAGAATCTCCCCCTCTGCGGGCAAGCTGTGAGGGGTCAGGATCCCAGAGGCCAGGACAAGGGCACAGAGATACCCAAACACTGGAAGAGTTTGGGAACTTTCAATGGCAGAATGCAGGAGTTTCCCCTCCGTTCAGCATCTTGCACCCTGGGCCCTTAGCCCCGATCTCCTGGCCACTCTTACCCTGCCACGTCCCTGTCCCCTCCGGCCTCAGCTCCTCAGGTGCTTACTAGCTCCACAAGAAGGTCCGAGCTGCTTCCCCAGCCTTAGGACATCCTCACCCCTTCAGTCCCCTCCCCCCCACACACACACACTCACACAGCCTCATGCATTATTGATCTCCTGGTGGAGCCAGGATGACCAGGGCCCGTGCCAAGGGCGCCTGTGGGCACTGCTGCGGGACCTGGGCGGACCTTGGCATGTTCTTGGCCACCTCTTCTGCCGCCCACAGTGTCCCCATCAGCCCAGTGTCCTGCTCTCTCTGGGTGGGCGGTACTTCTCAGGAGCCATAGTAAGAGGATAGTGAAGCTTTGGAGGGGACTGAGGTGGGAATCCTACAGGCATGTTTTGTGGGAGGAGGCACAAGGGAAAATAGGGGCTATCTCAGGCCTCAGTTTCCCCAAGCAGAAAACAGGAGTCCAAGAACTTGCGGGTATGGAGACCAATCGGGGTTTGATGGGTGTTCTGCAGGGTGATAGTGGCAAAGGAGTCTCCACACCATTGCGCTGGGGGTGGAGGGTTTCTAGAGAAAGAGACAGCTGGATTGAACTCTTGCCTGTCCAGTATCTGAGTCCCTCTGTCTCTTCTTAGAGCCTCTTCCTTCACTTCCCTGCTTTACCTCTGATCCCCATCCTGCAGGGAATCCTGCCAAGAAAGCACCTAGTGTTTCCGGGAGCCCCAGGATGTGTGCCCAAGCTGGGATTGGGCACACTTCTTATGGTTTTCTCCCAGCACCAACCTGTCTGCAGTGTGCTGGTTCACCTCTCTAAGCAGCAGCCATAACCAGAGGGTGTAGGCAGGGGACCCGCCCAGGGTGGCATGGGAACAGATGCAGGGTGTGGGGGAGAAGCATGGCAGGTGAGCCCTTATTCCCAGAGGGCACAGGAGGGATCAGAGGTGGGTAGGTGAAAGCAAGGGCAGCACTAATGGGGTCTCTCTCTTGTTTCAAGGGCCCCCTCAGGTTCAGGTGACATCTTTCCCCTTTGACCTGTTCTACATCCTCAGCAGGGAGTGGCCTCTCCCTCCTCCATGGACTTCCAAGAGAGGGACACCCCCTCACTGGCCGAGAGCACTCAGTCCTCGAAGCCTAGCAGCACGCAGCAGGTCTGAGGGGCAGCAGCAATGGGTGGGCCTACCTTGGGCCCGAGGGGCAGAGGCAATGCAGTGGGCTCAGTAGCTCCCTCCCTCTGCCCTGGACTGCAGGCCTCTGAGCTGTGGGAGGTAGTGGAGGAGCCTCGGGGCAGGCTGGGAGCAGAAGGTGTCAAGCCTGAAAGGCAGGAAGGTCACCTGCTCAAGAAGAGAAAGTGGCCTCTGAAAGGCTGGCACAAGGTAGGCTGTGCAGGGCATGGGGAGGCTGCCTGGCTACKCAGGCTTTTGTACATGGAGGAGAAAAGCCTATGTGCATTTGCTCTTCTCTGTTCTCTGTCCTCTGGGCCACACGGTCTTACTTCTCCTGGGCGACTTCACAGAGGTACTTTGTGCTCGAGGATGGGATCCTCCACTATGCAACCACCCGGCAAGATGTGAGTCAGGGCCCTGGCTTGGGTTCTGGGAGGAATCTGCCCCAGGATGCCCTGAGCAGGCAGTGGGTATCTGGAATAACCCAGAGCAGGGTCCAAGTCCCAGGTACACCATTTGCTGAGTGAGCAGCCTCTGGCCAGTTATAATCAGCCCTCTGGATCCTTAGTTCCGCATTCTCTGATTCAACCAACTGCAGATCAAAATACATGTACTTTTTTTTTTTCTCTTTCCACATTTTTTTTATTGGTGCATGATATTAGTACATAATGATGGGGTTTGAMATTACATATTCATACATGCACGTGATAATACAATATAATTTGGCCAATATCATCCCCCAGCACTTCCTCCCTCCCTTCCCACAAAATGTATGTATTTTAAAATTATATCTGTACTGAAAACGTATAGGTTTGTTTTCCTGTCACTACTACCTAAACACCAATACAACTATTTACACAGCATTGACACTGTATTAATTATTATCGATAATCTGAAAATGTGTATGGGAGCAGGGCTGGTGTGTAGCTCAGTAGGAGAGCACTTGCCCAGCTCCATCCCCAGCAACACACACACACACACACACACACACACACACTCACAAATAATAAAGCCCACAGGAGGATGTGCATAGGTTACATGCAAATACTAGGCCATTTTATATAAGGAGCTTGAGCATCCACAGATTTTGATATCATGGGGGTTCTAGAACCATTCTCTCAGACACCTTAGAGACAACTGTACTTCCCTGAGCCTCAGCCTCCTTCTCACTAAGATGGGGAGCATGCTTGCCCCCAGGTAGAGCTGCCCTCTTGGTAAGGGCATAGTGCACATGAGACCTCTGGATGAGGCCTTGGTACAAACTACCCAAGAAATGAGAGCSTTCCCCCTTCACCTTTCTCATACTGGCAACAAGGAACTGAAGGCTGCACTCCCAGGTTCTCCATGGGGAGGGGTCCACCTTCCTCCAGACAGATTCCCAGGGTGAGAGTATTTGTCCTTGCTCTGTGGCTTCCTAACTCAGAGTGAGGCTGGACATACTGGAGGGTTCTGTACATAGAACATGATTGGCAACCCCCTCTGATAGTGTGCCTTGGACCTGGGGGTGAATTACTGCCTGACCTTTGAGCCTAGAGTGGTATTAGGAGATGGTGGTTTTGTGGCCCAGAGACACTAAAACCAGTCCTCACCAAACTTCTACTCAAGATCACCAAGGGGAAGTTCCATGGCTCCATTGATGTCCGCCTATCAGTCATGTCCATCAACAAAAAGGCCCAGCGCATTGACCTTGACACTGAGGACAACATCTACCATCTCAAGGTAACATCCTGGGAACCAGGGAATATTATGGCCTTCTGCCTAGCAGAGGTGCTGGGCACRAAGACATAGGGGCTGAGAGTCTGTGGAGCTCAAGGTCTTTTCCTGAATTTGACAAGAAGAAAGTTGCCATTGTATCAAACAGCAGACCAGCCCTATTGGTTGTTATGTGAACAGGTCTGGGGCTAAGAGCTCAGACAGGGGACTGTGCTTCACCTGCTTGCAAGGGGGCTTTGCACTAATGGGGCACTATAGGGACAGACACTATTTGCCTGCGACCAGAGTCCTTATAGCTCCTGGCAAGTAGCCCTCCCTTCAAATATACTCTCCCTTCTCCGTCATGTCTGCAGATCAAATCCCAGGACTTGTTCCAAAGCTGGGTGGCCCAGCTGCGTGCCCACCGCCAGGCCCAGCGCCTGGACTTGCCCAGCACCACTCATCGGAAGGTATGATGGGCCGCAGGGTGGATGTGATGATTCAGAGATGGTGGCTCCGGGGAACTGTGAGACCCACAAAGGTGGGCACCATCCTTCCTGACCCTTGGTTCACCACACAGGCTCCTGGCACCCAGCTTCTGACAGCAGGTAGCACTTCAGCTCTACCTGGAGTTGGACCTCGGGAGAAGGTGTCTTCCTGGCTGAGGGACAGTGACGGGCTAGACCGCTGCTCTCATGGTGAGGGATCCCTCTCAAGTGCTTCTGTGGGTGTGACCCATGCTGTCGGGTCTAGGTGGTGTCAGCAGGAGGGGAAAATGGTATCTCCATCCCTACCCCAGGGAGCCCCAGTCTGATGGGGGAGATGGCCTCTGCCTCCAAGGTGGTCGAGTCTCCTTGAACCTACTTGGAGGAGCCCCAATCTTACAAAGGATGGTGGGGCTTGTGTCCTAGGCCCATAGACAGACATGGATGCATGACCAGGATTCCTGACAAGGAGGACAGTGAATGCCCGTGCAGGGAAGAATCCTGAGCTGTAGTGCCGGGCGGGGATGTCCTCTAGAATCGGGTTCCTGCAATAGGGAGGTGTGGTGTTGGCCTGGGGAGGGAAGTGTGCACCCAGTGAGGARAGTGGCAGGGCATAGGGCCTATGTGTGGCTAGAGGAGCTGAGGGGTTGTCTGCAGACAGGGTAGAAACCAGGGAGGCCACACCATGGAGCTTTGGGATCTTGAGCAGGGAAGAGGAGCAGTGTCAGGGTCTCTGTGGTGGCTAGTGACATTTTGGGAGGAGAAGGGAAGCTGAGGGACAGCTGGTGTTGGAGCAGTGTCCTCCTTTATTCTCCATCAGCACTCTCTGAGTGTCAGGGGAAGCTCCAGGAGTTACACAGACTCCTCCAGAGCCTGGAGTCCCTGCACCGGATCCCCTCTGCCCCTGTGATTCCCACACACCAGGTAAGGATGGGGGAGGAGACAGGGCTTCACCCCCATCACCTCCCTGGGGCGGGCCTCCCTTCCTCTCCATTGCTGGAGTTTCCCCGGCCCTCGCTTCTTCCTCTGAGATGTCACTTCCCTGGGGATGGTACCTGGGTGCCTAGCATGATCTGTGCCCTCTTTTGTGGTGTCTGCCTCTCCCCGGGTTGCCCCCTTTCCCCACCCTGTGAGTGAAACTTCTCCCTCCTCAACTTGCAAGGCCTCAGTGACAACTGAGAGACCCAAGAAAGGAAAACGGACCAGCCGCATGTGGTGCACACAAAGCTTTGCCAAGGACGACACCATTGGACGGGTGAGGTGGCGTGAGGACCCCAGTTGCCGGGGCAGGATCCCCGGGAGGAAGCTTCCATCTACTCCCTCCCTTTCACCTGCAGGTTGGTCGTCTCCATGGCTCTGTTCCCAACCTGTCTCGCTACCTGGAGTCTCGGGACTCCTCTGGCTCCCGTGGGCTGCCACCCCAAGACTATGCCCACCTGCAGCGCAGTTTCTGGGCCCTGGCCCAGAAGGGTGAGTGCAATCTAGTGGGTGGTGAGGAGCAGGAGGTAGAGGGCAAGGAGTCTGATGGCCTGCCCTGCCCCCGACAGTGCACACTTCCCTCAGCAGTGTTCTGGCTGCCCTCACCACCGAACGGGACCGACTGAGGGACCTGCACCAGGGTTCAGAGCTGTCAAGGATGGGGGTGAGCCTTGGGGACAGGGCAGCTGGTCAGGGCCAGGGCTTGAGGCTGAGGACTTCAGGCCTCCAGTCCAACAGCAGGTCTGCTCTGGGGCTGGGGGTTTGGCAGAGGCCATCTCTGCAGAGAGGAGGGTGGCAGGGCTGGGAAGACTTTCTCCTCCCTCACCCTGTCCCCTCACCCTCCTCCTCAGGTCTCTGAGGCCCCAGCTGGGCAGAGGCGCCTCCACTCACTGTCCATCTCCTCAGACACCACTGCGGATTCCTTCAGTTCCCTCAACCCCGAGGAGGTGAGGAGCCAGGGCGGGCTTCAGGCCATCTCCCCTGCACCTTCTTCACTACAGGAGCGAAGGCCAGGGTGTTGGGCAAGGTTGGGTTTTAGCCTGAAAACAAAGTCCAGAAGTCCTGGCTCCAATATTTTTCACGCAATATGGACACGGCCACCCTTGACCCATCCTTACAGATGTAGTATGCTTTGCTTTGAATTCAGAGTTCATAAGGTGGTGGCTCTCACCTACCATATGACAAAACTGAGACCCAAACAATCGAATTGATGGGCCCAGGCCCCCACAGTTATGGCCAGGCTGAACGGACTCTGGGACTGGACTCTGTGGGTCTGAATCTGGCTCCGCTATGTGCCAGCTTTTTGGCCTGAGCCTCACTACCCTAACCTACAAAGTGGAGGTAAAAAATGCACCTTTGCACAGGATGGGTGTCAGTACTGAGTGGGTTGATACAGGAAAAGGATTTGCAGCAGAGTTCAGAGTTGGTGGCCAGGAAGTGCATGCAGTTACTATGGAACCGGGTCACCTCCCCCGAAGCTGGGGTTGGTCCTCTACACTCTTGCGTCCTGCACATTGCCCCTGCCTCTCCTGCTCTGCAGATGGCAGACTCAGTGGATGTCCCCATAGTGCTTCCCTCTCAAGGGAGTGTTGAGCAAAAGCGAGCCTTGCCTGGCTTTCCACCATGGCCTGACCCTCCCTTGGCTCCCACAGCAAGAAGCTCTGTACATGAAGGGGCGAGAGCTGACCCCCCAACTGTCCCAGAGTAGCATCCTGTCCCTGGCTGATTCCCACACGGAGTTCTTCGATGCCTGTGAAGTTCTCCTTTCCGCCAGTTCTTCAGAGAACGAGGTGAGGGAGGAGGAAAGCCAGCAGTGAGGGGGAAGGGAAATTGGGAAGGTACGGGTGAGTCCAGAGGGACTAGGATCTAGATTCCTGAGTCCTTTCTCACCACCTTGGCTGCTATCTCTGGGAACACATCCACATCTATTGGGGCTTGTATGGTCTTGCTCAGAAATCTCTGCTGGAGACCGAGTTTGGCATGTTTTATCCCCCTTGGGTCCTCTGACATTGCTGCCTCAATTCCCACCCTAGTCATCTCCCTGTGACCCATTTCAGCTTCAGCACCCCCTTGACTCCAGGTCTCCTTACACCCTAAATCTCAGCAGTCCCCGGATTCCCTTCTCTTCTGCCAGGTTCCTTAGTTCTCCTACCCTCACCAGTGGTAGGGCTAGGCGCTGTCCCTCCAAGGCAGCTGGGCCAGTCCTCCTGGGKCAATGTCTTAGGGTTCAGAGCTCTCATCCCCCAATACCTTCTCTTCCCCTTCCCATCAGAGTGCTAGCTGGGCAGATTCTTGCCAGGCCCTGGGCACTGCCCAGCTGCCCGGAGAGACACAGTCTGCCCAGCCTGTCATCTCTTCTGGCCCAGGGCTCTGAGGAAGAGGAAGAATCATGCACCAGTGAGATTACCACCAGCCTGTCCGAAGAGGTGCTGGACCTCAGGGGAGCTGAGCGCTATCAGAGAGGTGCCAGGAGGGCATGTGGATGTGGGGTGTGGGTGGGTAGAGGAATTGCATTTGCTTGTGGCTCTCGGACTCGTGCAGACCAGTCCCTTGTGGTGATGGGTGGGCTAATGGCTTTGGGTGCTGACCCCAGCATGACCCCTGAGCTGAGAAAGTCTAAGCCACAAGCTGGAGAATATTCCAGAAGCAGCTCAGGGTGGAGAGCCAGGCTCAGACTTGGTGCTGGCCTCTGTTCCTATGGGCTGGGAAGGCCTACAAACAGGCCTGACAGAGAGCAGAAGGTCCCACTTTTTTTTGGCACCAGAGATTGAACTCAGGGACACTCAACCACTGAGCCACATCCCTGTATTTTAGAGACAGGGTCTTGCTAGTTGCTTAGTGTCTTGCTTTTACTGAGGCTGGTTTTGAACTCGAAGTCGTCCTGCTTCAGTCTCCCAAGTCACTGAGATTACAGGAGTGTACCACCCCGCCCCTCCCACTTTGCCACTTTTTATTAGAGTACTTTTGGACCCGTCATTTTGCTTCTTGGAGTCTATTTTGTCTCCTATAAAAGGGGCTGAATAGTCTGTGTCTGGACATTTGCTTCTGTGTTTATAAAAGGGTGTGTGTGTATGTGTGTGAGTGTAACTTGGCCATGGTTTCTGGGGCACAGTGTCTGGCAGTGGAATTGTCCCCCTGGGTGGTTCGAAGCCCTGCTCCCTGCCTGAACCCCTGGGAGCTTGTCAGCAGATCCCAGTCACCCAGCCCACAGTGGGTGGAGACCCGGGCCTGGGAACTGAGCAGATCTACAACCCAGCAACTCCCCCCAGGGTTGGGAGGCAAGCTGTGTGGACTGGTGGACTGGCCAGTGGGCCTGTGCTTCTGGGATGCCAGTATCTAGAGGGAGAGTGACTTGGCTGGGATGGGCCCCAGGAGGGTGTGTTCCAGCGAGAGCTGCAGGGCCCCCTCGCCGCCGCTGCCTGCCAGCCGCCAGCGGGCCGGGGGCTGACGTGAGCCTGTGGAACATCCTACGCAACAACATCGGCAAAGACCTGTCCAAGGTGTCGATGCCCGTGCAGCTAAACGAGCCGCTCAACACGCTGCAGCGGCTCTGCGAGGAGCTGGAGTACAGCAGCCTCCTGGACCAGGCCAGCCACATGGCTGACCCCTGCGAGCGCATGGTACCTGCCCCAGGGCCACTTCTTCCTCCCTGGAGACCCTGTCCCCCAGAAATCCCAGATGGGCTGATCCTTGCTGCTGAAGTTCCATCTCAAGACCCCAGACTTTGCTTGCAGAGAGGGGTGTCCCTTCCCTGGGCCCTACTCTGAGTCACCAACCATGGTGACACTGCCCCTGCTTTCCTGCAGGTATACATTGCGGCCTTCGCCGTCTCTGCCTACTCTTCCACGTACCACCGAGCAGGCTGCAAGCCCTTCAACCCTGTACTGGGCGAGACCTATGAATGTGAACGGCCTGACCGGGGCTTCCGCTTCATCAGCGAGCAGGTGTGGGCCCAGGGTGAGGGGGCCAGCCTCCAGGAGCTGGGCAGGGGAGGACCTKTACTTCAGGGTCCAGAAGCTGGGGCCAGTGGGGCCAGGACATGGAGAGGAGCATGGGGCAGGGTCCCTGTGCCAGGCAGATGGAGGATTCTGTGCTAGGGAGCTGTCAACTCCAAGTGGGAAGTGGACCTGAAACAGGTGTAGAGGGGCATCCTGCAGACTTGGAAAGGCACACCTCAGGGGTGATCCTGAACTTGATCTTGAAGGATGGGTACCACTGGGGTGTGGGTGGGGGTTGTGGGAGACTGGACGTTCCAGTCAGTATAAAGGAATAGGTGGCACTTGTTCGGGAAGGTTAGAGATAGGGCTGGAAGGTTAGAGACAGGCCAGATCCTGAGGAGCCCTATTGGTGAAGGTAAGGAGAGGTTTGGCTTTTCATTTGTTTCTAAATCCTGAAGACAGTGGGAGCCGTRGAAGATATAAACATTAAAGTGACTTCTTAGAGCTGCTTTGTGTAAAAAACACCTCGGTGATGTATGCTGGTTGGTGGAGGCCATTAGGAGGCCAGTAAAGTCATCTTCGTAAGAGCTGATGACAGCCTGCACTTGGGCTATGGCATATTAAGTTCAAAAACTATTTATGTGCTGCTCTTGACAGGACTCAGTAGTCAGCAGATATTCTTATGTGTAGGGGATGGAGATGTGGCCAATGAGGGAGAAGGCTAGGTAGCCTCATCATCATCATTCAATGGGCTCGACTTCCAGAGAGATGTCCAGCAGAACTGGTCAGTGGGCCTGAAGCTCCTCAGAGAGTGCTGAGCAGAGCTAGCAGACTGGGGAGTCACCAGCTTAGAGGGCGGGAGAAGACCCAGGCTCTCTATGGTGTGTCTGGGCAGGAGAATGGGTGGTCCATGGGACCTGGGGGGCATCAGTAGCTTTCTGAATAAAGGAGGTTTTAGAGAAAGGGTGGGGCAGTGAATGGATTACAGAGGATGTTAAGTGAAGGTTTGAAAAAAAGTAGAGAGGGGCTAGAGTTGTGGCTCAGTGGTAGAGCGCTCGCCTAGCACCTGCGAGGCCCTGGGTTCGATCCTCAGCACCACATAAAATAAATAAATAAATTAAAGATCTCTGTCCAACTACAACTAATAACAAATATTTTTTAAAAAGTAGAGAAAAATATAGGCTATTTCCAAAAAATGTCACCATGAGGGAAAGAGGAGAGAAAGAGAGACCACTAGAGGGAAGATGAAAGGTTGAGGCAATTTGCTTGTTTGTTTAGATTTTAAGGGTTTTTAAAAAGACAGTATCAGGCACCATGGTGCATGCCTATAATCCCAGCGGCTTGGGAGGCTGAGGCAGGAGAATCACAAGTTCAAAGCCAGCCTCAAGCAATTTAGCGAGGCCCTAAGCAACTTAGTGAGACTTTGTCTCAAAATAAAAAGGGGTAGAGATATAGCTCAGTGGTTCAATCCCTGTACTGAAAAAAAAAAAAAAGGTGGTGAATATTTTATACAATACAATAGGAAACAAGTGTCCCTTCCCAACCCATGGAGGGGACATCTGCCACTAACATCTTCCCAGAAATGTTTTATACAGGTACGAGCAGAAATGTGCTGGTCTAGGAAGGGAAGGCTTACTATTTTTTAAGATTGGAGAAACAGGAGATTCTTTCTATTCAGAGAGAAGAAGAAAAATAGAGGGAAGGACAGAAGGTGTGGAAGAGGGAGCGGGAGGGGTGTGGCGGAGGTCCCAGGGAGAAGGGCCTGGGAGGGGCTGGCGGGCAGCCCTGGGCTTGAGGAGTTGTCTTCTTCAGCTCTGTTCTTCCTGGCTGTGGGGGTGCAAGTGTCCAAAGGGGCTGACTTGGGCCTGGGTCCTTGTGGGATTGCTGGAGGATGCGGGGCCAGAGGTAGAAGCACGTCGATTCTCAGCTTCCCACTGAGGGTTGTGTTGGGGGTGARGTCAGAGGACACTGTGCTGCTGGCATTCCTGGTGAGTGCTGGAAGCAGGCCGTTGAGGGCAGTAGGTGACAAGGTGTAGGCATGGGTAGGAGGAAGGGAAGCAGTATAGGGTTGACAGAGCAGAGCCCTTGGGGACAGGAAAGTCTTGACCGGAGCCATGGGCGACAGGACTGGGTAGAGAGATGAGGAGGGTGGCTATGGGATGTTAGAGCTTAAGGTCCCAGATGTGGAGCTATCCCAAGTGAGGACGAGGCCAGGTGTGTCCAAAGGAGTGGGGTGGAAGGGCAGGGTGTGATTAGCGTCCACGGGAGGGGAAGATGAGGGCAGAGGGTCCTCCGGGGGGTTGTTTCCGATAGGGGTGGAGGTTCTGCTGGGCATGGTTGAGGGAATGTTTCCGTCTGAGCCGGGTTTCTCAAGGGCACCATAGAGAGGGTGCCAGGAGAGCTCCCAAGGGGAGTGAGTGGGTGAGGAGGAAAAACAGACAGGTTCCGTGGGGAGAAAAAGATGTAGATTTGGTGGTAGCCAAGGATGACGGGAATGAAGAGACCTGGAACTAACTGATCCTCTAGTTCACAGGGAAATGGGGTGGGGGTAAGGGACATTGAGGGACCCTGATGTCAGGAGCAGACCCCAAGCTCCTTAGGGACAGCCTCAAGGGAACTTATTTGCTCTCCAAGGTCTCCCACCACCCCCCCATCTCGGCATGCCACGCAGAGTCAGAGAACTTCGTCTTCTGGCAAGGTGAGGGGGCAGGTGCAGGTGGACCTGGGGAAAGGGCAGCCAGGGAGGGTCTGGGATACTCTCTGGCCTTATTTCTGCTGTCCCTTCTCCCTCCCCCAATCCAACTGCAGACATGAAGTGGAAGAACAAGTTCTGGGGCAAATCCCTGGAGATTGTGCCTGTGGGGACAGTCAATGTCAGCCTGCCCAGGTGAGTACTGTGACTCTCAGCAGCTGGTATCCTCTGGGCTGGAGATGGGAATGGGGCGGGCATTCAGGACAGGAAGGACCGTCTGGCTTCAAGCTGCTGCTGCTGCAGGTGACAGTGTGTGCAGGTTTAACCACTCTATGTGCAACAGCTGCCCTAAAGGAAGGAAGGGGAGGGAGAAGCCTTAGGACAGTAAGGCTGGGAGGGCCCACGGAGTCCTCTGACTCAGTGTCTTTCACAATTTTTTGACCTTGATATAGTGAGAAATGCATTGAGTCTTCAAGCCAGTAAGTGCATACACACACACAGAGGAACCTAAAGGGATGTCCAGACTGATGGGTCACAAAGCACATTTGGAGCTGTGGTACACTCCTGTGATCCCAGTGGCTCCGGAGGCTGAGGCAGGAGGATGGCAAGTTCAAAGCCAGCCTCAGCAAATTAGCAAGGCCCTAAGCAACATAGTAACACCCTGTCTCTAAATAAGAAATAAAGGGAGGGGGATGTGGCATCATCTAGCTCAATTTATAGGTGGGGTACTGAAGTCAGAAAGAAGGGGGCTTATTCATAGTGACAGGGAGCCTGTCTGTATTTTTATATGCATTACCTAGGCACTGAGGAGCTTCGTAAAGGAGTCAAGTTCACTGAAAGCATTCTGTGAAGGTGACTTTGCTTTTTAGATAAGTCATCTCTCACTGCAGAGCTGGCACTAGGATCCTGGAGGTTCCTTCCACAGACTCAGGTGACCTGCTCCAGAGAGACAGGTGCCCTCCTGCCTCTGGCCACTTGTTCCCCAGGGCCACCACTCCCCTCCCATGCCCTGTCTCTCTCAGGTTTGGAGACCACTTTGAATGGAACAAGGTGACATCCTGCATTCATAACATCCTGAGTGGCCAGCGCTGGATTGAGCACTATGGGGAGGTGCTTATCCGAAACACACAGGACAGCTCCTGCCACTGCAAGATCACCTTCTGCAAGGTAGACTTGTTACCTTGACCATTCCTGTTCACCCCCAGCAGCTTCTTCTTTTGTGGTTACCCTGGGTAAGGTAAGAGACACCCCCTTAGGACMCCACCTTCTCCACCCCAGGCCAAGTACTGGAGTTCCAACGTCCACGAGGTGCAGGGTGCCGTGCTCAGCCGGAGTGGCCGTGTCCTCCACCGACTATTTGGAAAGTGGCACGAGGGGCTGTACCGGGGTCCTCCCCCAGGTGGTCAGTGCATCTGGAAACCCAGTAAGTGAGATGGGCAGGGAAGGCTGGGCAAGGGTGGGGACAGCTGTGGCACAGTCCACTTGCCCAGCCCCTTGCCTCTCCTCCAGACTCAATGCCCCCAGACCATGAGCGAAACTTCGGCTTCACTCAGTTTGCCCTGGAGCTGAACGAACTGACGGCCGAACTGAAACGGACACTGCCTTCCACGGACACGCGGCTCCGGCCTGACCAGAGGTCAGTGCCAGTCAGGGTGTCCCTGGAGCCCCGGGCCCACTCCCACTGCTAGGGCCTTGGCCACTTGCTGGGCATGGTTGGGGTTGCCTCCGGGAAATGGGGCCTGTTTGGGGGACAGAGCTCAGAGCTGGGAAGGAGACACAGGCCTAGGCTTTGGGAGTCCCTGGGCTGGCAGCTCCACTTATGGCCATCTGGGTCATCAGGTACCTGGAGGAGGGGAACATCCAGGCCGCAGAGGCGCAGAAGAGAAGGATCGAGCAGCTCCAGCGAGACAGGCGAAGAGTGATGGAGGAGAACAACATTGTCCACCAGGCCCGCTTCTTCAGGTGCTGCACCGGCCTCTGCCCCTCTCTGAAGCCCCTTCCCGCTCAGGGTGGGGTAGGGCAACCTTGGGATGCAGTGCTTCAGGGTTCTGCCTATGTTCTGCTGGTCCCCTGCTCACACCCATGGCCCTCTCCCCCCGACAGGCGGCAGACAGACAGCAGTGGCAAGGAGTGGTGGGTGACCAACAACACATACTGGAGGCTGCGCGCCGAGCCGGGCTATGGGAACCTGGATGGGGCTGTGCTATGGTAGCCCTGGCTCTGGGGGCAGGAGGCCCTGGTCCTCACTTCTCCTGCCCCCACTCTCGACCACGGACACATGGGTGAGGCCGGGCTCCCCCTCACTGCCCTTGAGACCAAAGGGGATGCCCTGGCTCTGGCCCTCTCCCTCTGCTGGCCAGAGGGCTGCAACTCAGCACACGCCCAGCCCCACTGTTGGGGTAAGAAGCAGAATCCATGCTTCCCCAGTCTTGTTGCCTCAACAACTGGCATGTGCGACCCTTCTCGCTCTGTCACCCCCTTCCTTGTCCCCCTTGGAGTGCTTGGAGGAGACTCTAGGCTCCCAGGATCTGCTCCCCATTTCAGTGCCTTCCTAGGACACAGGGGACCCCTTGATGCCCCCCAGGCTTCCTGCGCCCAGGGCGCTGGCCCCTGCTTCGAGGTTCAAGTGAAGGAGAGGAGACAGCTTTTCCTTCCACCTGCCCTGTCTCCAGCATCTTCTCCCCTTTCCCTGGAGAAAGTCCAGCAGGGTCTCCTCCAGTTTCCTGTGGCTGGTCCCTGGCCATCCCTACCCTCCTGCATCCTCTCCTCCCAAACTGCAAAACGCCTGCAGCTTCCAGCTCCTTGGTCCCTGATCCTCAAGTGGTTCCCCGCAGTCTCGGCTCCGCAGATGCCCCAAAGTGAATGAATCCTCTCCAGAGGCGGGTGGGCTGGGGGAGGGGGGTAGTCTGAGATGCCTGGCCTCAGGCCCACGAGGAAGGAGTGAGCAGGTGTGAGTGTAAAGTTGTGTAGGAGTGTGTGTGTGTGTGTGTGTGTGTGTGTACATGTGCGTGTGCGTACTGTGTCCTGCTTGCAGGCAAGCAGGGGTCCTTAATGTAGTCTGGATGTCCCCTCTGCTGGGTGTCCACCACTGTTGCTGCTCATTTTCTTGCCTCTGAGTCAGGTGAACTGCTATGACATTCCAAGCTCCAATAAAGACTGTCCCAGATGTTGGCCTGTGATCTTTCATTGAAAAACATGTGTCCAAGCACCAGAGAAGGCCACTGCAGGTGGTTGAATTGTGTCTCCTCAAAAAGATATGTTCCTGGTCCCTAGTTCCTGGGAATGTGACACATTTGGAAACTAGGTCTTTGCAGATAGAAAGTTACAACGAGGTCATATGGGATCAGGGTGGGCTGTCATGCAATGACTGRTGTCCTTTTAAAAAGAGAAGAAGTTGGGAACACAGACACACATAGAGGGAAGAGGACCATGGAAACTCAGGTCATGTGGCATGGGCCGTGTGGGCAGGTGGGCACAGACTGGAGTGAGGCATCTGCAAACCAGGGAACATCAAGGACACTGCAGCCAGCAGAACCCAGGTGGCAGCGTGGACAGGCGCTGGGAGAGAGCCCTGCTCTGAGCCTTCTCGAGAAGGAACCAAGGCTAACACCTGCTTTTGGACCTCTGGCTCAGCTGTGACAGAACAGATGTCTGCTGTTTTACGCCACCCACTGTGTGAAACTTTATTATGGCAGCTCTCACTCTCACTTCTACCTCCAGTGTCTCTCTTTGTGCACCTGGCTCAGATAGGGCCCTTTTGGACACTTGTCTGGACTATTACAGTCACTTCCATCCTAATGCTGGCTCTCGTGGGGATTTCAAAAGAGAAAATATGGCTCTTCATTGCTGCTTTAAATACCTCCGTTGCTGCCCAGGTCCTGGTGGAAAAAATCCAAATCTTCAAGCAGGTAGAAAACTGTATGGTCCTTGTTCCCCTGGTGTGGGCATTTGTTGTAGGGTCTGTGTCCCCCCAACTCCAAGATGGATGAGAGTTCAGGAAGGGAGGGGAGGGAGAGCAGCAGGCTGAAGGTCCACCATCAAGGTCCACTCAGGCATTATTCCACAGCCGAGTGACCTGGGTCCAGTAGCCCTTGCCTTTCTGTTCAGATGCTTCCATCTATCATTGGGCTTCTTTGGGGTCTTAAAGGAAAACGTCTGTGAACAGCCTGGTCCCCACACTTCATTACTTTTCTTTCCGCCCCTCAGCCTGCCTCACCCCTGCCCGACCCCACCRCAGCCACATCCCCCTGTCCCTGCTCTGGTTTGGTGGCTCGCCCCACCCAAAGTCATACTTTCTCTGGGAGTGACAAGAACTGTCACTTTCTTCTCCCTCTCCCCCAGCCAGAGAGAGCCCCCACTCGACTTAGGAGGCTGAGACAGGAGGATCACAAGCTTGAGGACAAACTCAGCAATTTAACAAGACTGTGTCTCAAAATGAAAAAATAAAAAGGAGAGGAGATGTGGCTCAGTGGTAGAGCACCCCTGARTTCAATCCCCAGTACCAAAAATAAAGAAATGGGCTGGGGATGTGGCTCAAGCGGTAGCGCGCTCACCTGGCATGCATGCGGCCCGGGTTCGATCCTCAGCACCACATACCAACAAAGATGTTGTGTCCGCCGAGAACTAAAAAATAAATATTAAAAAATAAATAAATAAATAAATAATAAAGAAATGAATATTAAAAAAAAAGAGGAGCTTGTTGGTGTAGCATCCCTGAATTAAATCCCCAGTAATATGGGGCTGGTGTTGTGGCTCAGTTGGTAGAGTGCTTGCCTCATGTGCACAAGACCCTGGGTTCTAATCTCCAGAATCACATACAAAAACTAAAAATAAAAAATCAAACGAAGGTATTGTGTCCACCTACAACTAAAAAATAAATATAAAAAAAAWYCCCMRKWAWKSCMAAAAAAAAAAAAAGTCAAAATGAGCACACTTGTCCAGATGACACGTGTCAAAAATAATCTCAGTGCATCTTCAAACCAACCCAAACCTATGCACATTCAGGATCTTTTAAAAACAGTGTGCATGACGGATCCTGGCCATCCCCTAGAGCAACGCAGCACCTGACAGCAGCCCGTGTCCGACTTCTATGTATTTTAAGAACTGAAGTTTGAAACAGGTCACATCCCAAAGTCGTTTTTTCCAGTGGAGACATGAGACCAGAAGCTCCACTGCCCAGGAACCAAGCCCTCTGTGCCTTGCCCCATCTAGATCTGCATCCTCTCCCAGCCCTGCTGCCCAGGTGTCAACATAACGTTGCAGGTCGGGATGGGAAGATAAGATTGTTGTCACCTTGCTGGGGACCAGCAGGGGAAGAAGAGTCCTTTCCTTTTTTTAATACTTATTTATTTATTAGTTGGACACAATATCTTTATTTATTTTTATGTGGTGCTGAGGATCCAATCCAGGGCCTCCAATGTGGTAGGCAAGCGCTCTACCACTGAGCCACAACCCCAGCCCCCCACCCCCACTATAAATATTGACTCAGCTTGGAGTACACCAGTGCGTCGAGCCAGGGCCCACTTCCCCGGATGACAAAGGACAGAGCTTGAAAGCAGAGGCAGTGAGACAATCAGGGACCCCCATTACCAACAGAACCCCTGAGGTTTAAGGGGGTAAACCTCCTGGGGGAATGCCAGAGTCAAGCTAGCTCTCAATCTTAGGGGGTCAACAGACATTACAGAAAACTAGGAGTTGAAAAGTGAATCTATCTTCAAGGCTATGGGAGAGAGAACACATCTGGAAACAGGATGCGGGGAAGTYGGCTCAGCCTTCTGAAGTTAAGTGGTCAGCAGACTTCGAGGGTCTCCTCAGATGAGAAAGGGCAAATGCATGTATAGAATAGTCCCCAAAGTCACCTACAGTTAGCCTTTGCTTTATTAGCATAGTAAAAAATTGCACCCTGAAGTGGAGACTTAAGATGGTAATGAGACACACTTCACATGAAGAGGTGTGATGAAGAGCCCTGACCAACCAAAACCCTACTCCATATGTGGTGACATCAAGACATTTGGGTCCCTGCCTATCCCACAGCCCACAGCTGTCCTTTTTTTTTTTTTTTTTTTTTTTTTGGCATTGGGGATTGAACCCAGGGGCACTTAACACCAAGCCACATCCCTAGCCCTTTTATTTTATTTTAAATTTTGAGACAGTGTCTTTTTTTAATATTTATTTTTTTAGTTGTAGTTGGACACAATACCTTTATTTCACTTACTTATTTTTATGTGGTGCTGAGGATTAAACCCAGGGTCTCACGCATGTGAGGCGAGCACTCTACCACAGAGTCACACCCCCCGAMGGAGATAGGGTTTTACTAAGTTGCTTAGGGCCTCAGCTAAGTTGCTGAGGCTGGCCTTGAACTTGCAGTCCTCCAGTCTCAGCCTTCTGGGCTGCTGGGATTACAGTCATGTAGCACCAGGCCTGACTGTGGATGTTCTCTTTTGGGGCAGGTACCAGGGATTGAACTCAGGGGCATTCCACCACTGAACCACATCCCCAGTTCTATTTTGTATTTTATTTAGGGCCTCACTGAGTTGCTTAGTTCCTTGCCATTGCTGAGGCTGGCTTTGAACTCGTGATCCTCCTGCCTCAGCCTTCTGAGCTGCTGGGATTACAGGTGTGCACCACCGAGCCCTGCTGTGGATGTTCTTGATGAGAACAGCCTGACACATAGCACTGTGTCTCCCTCTGGCTCTAGCAGAAGTCCCAATAAAGCCTTGCCTATGTATTCATGCTTACTTGACTTGCTTTTGTTTCTACTGTCACTGAGTCAGTTACTGTCTTCAGTATCACAATCATGGGGGCAGAGGGAGGAAGAGGCACGAGGTGTCACAGTCCTCACCTCATTTACTTTGGACCTTCCACCACCCCAGCAACTGCTCCAGATATGGATCTATTTTTAATTTAACTATTGAATAGCTGACAGGTACATCGGAATTGCAAGATGAGTTGCAATTAACCCTCAAATTCTCTGCATCTTCTGAATAAAGGGTGGTGTGTGTGTGTGTGTGTGTGTGTGTGTGTGTTTGTGTGTGTGTGTGTAATAAACCAGAGAAGGAAGCGAGCGCTGAGTCTGTGGAGGGGCCGGGCATTCATATTCCCTCTGAGGGGAGGTGGGGAGCAACCCCGAGGCTGGCGTGGGTGGAAAGAAGCAGTGCAGGGTGGAGCAGCCTTTAGCTGAATGGCAGGGTGCTGAGGTTTGTAGGGTACCCATCCTCTCTGTTTAGGGGAAATGGAAGGTAGTGAGGACAGTGGGGTTGGGGGACTTGCAGTGCCTGAGCTAGCTGCTGAGGTCTTCAAGTCTGACYTCAATTCCACTGGTGGCTTCAGGGGCTGGAAGAGGTTGGCCCTGGGAGTGGGGGTTCTAGGGTGCTTCCCGTGTTTCATTATATMATCACATAGTGCTCAGAATCTTGGAGTTGCTGAAAGATACATCCAAACCTTCAAAGAGGGGTTGGTTCATATGGCCAAATCCAAACCATTAGCTCTATGGTGCCAGAACCCTGGGCATGCTGGGCCCTGTTGATTCCTAATAAGAGAAGCCTGTCCTGAGAATGAAAGGTGGATAGGCAGGCTGGGCTATGGAAATGTGTGAGTAGAAGAGAAAGGAAGAGTTAGGGCAGGAGCAAGAAGGAGAAAGAAGAGCAGGAAGTGTGTCTTAGACAAGGTGGTGCAATCCTCCAAGAATCCTGAAGAGGGCGCCTGAGGCCCTGGAAAGGACCAGTTCAGTCACTTCCTGAGCACCACCTGGCAGGTGCCTGCTTCAACCATCTGTTCAGAGTGTCAGGCTCCCAAGCCCSTGGCCATGGCTGGGGTGAACTCAGCAGTAATAATTGGCAGCAGCAGACACTATTTACAGCCCACATTCCTACCAACTGCTAGTCACTCTACCATTACCCCTTTAATGACTCAGAAAATTCTCATGAGAGGGGAAACCCCTGTTCTGGGAGACTTAGGTGTCCCCAACCCACTTCTAGAAGCTGCTTAGATGGTCTGCAGGAAGGTGGTCAGGACCTCTCACTGCAGGTAACAGACTCACCAGGACAACTTGTCCAGGTCCTCCACCCCCTGGAGACTTTAGGTGTTTTCCTAAGTTGCCCTGAACGTCTCTCTTGCTTCTGCGTCCTCAGAGCCAGCCCATCACACACTGGGGTGGGTAC